GAAGAGCCTTAGTTTCCCCACCTGGACAATGGGGACGCTGCACACCGAATGCGCTATGAGAGAAAAGTGCCAGCAAGTGCTCGTGCCCATCCTCTGACTCCCCCCAGCCAGGCCATCCTGGGACTTCCATCCCAGGGAGCCCCACGCCCGGTCTCTGCGGAGGGGCTGGAGCCATGGGTACGACTGAGGTACGGACACAGCGCGACGGCTGGGACCCGTGATGAATGGACCAGTGCCCACCACTCCTCAAAACGTCTGAGACTGGGGGCAACACATCAGAGGCCCCAGAGCTTGACAGAATATTCCTGGTGATTGCCTGCCTTGCGCTGGGGCCCCCGAGAACAATCCAGGCAACAGCCAGCACAATGAGCCACAGAGCCAGTTCTAGCTGGAATATGGAGGCATTCTAGATGTAGCCCGGCCACCGACTCGCTGAGGGTGACTTGCCAGGCCTGCTTTCTCTTCTAGAAAGAGATGAAGAAAGAGATGCCAAGAAGAAAGCCCTACCCAAGAGTAAGGGACCATGACTTGGGGCCGCCTTCTCTGCAAGGAGCCCCTTTAGGCGCTGACAGAGCCTGGCTCACTGCCACTGCTCATTACAAATTACTAATCCTGCCTGCTCTCTTCCCTCCTACCTGACTCAGAAGGTCCACAAGGTGTGGCCTCCCCTCTGAGTCCTGGCCTGCCCAGTCAACTTACTTTGACGGAGGGAGGATAGGGCCACCTCAGCCTACAGGCCCTCGAGTGACGGCCCTCCTTGCCTGAGTCAGAGCTCAGCTTCCCAGGGCTGGCCAAAGGGGCCAGGCAGCCTCCCAGGCTCTGCTGGTCTGGAAGGCCCGTCCCTCCCGGGACCTGGCGCTGCCCCCTCCCCACCAACACACACGGACCACGAAAGTTGCTAGGAACGAACTCCAGCCCTGGAAGCCCACTCTCAGCCCCACTGAGGCAAACCTCCATCCTCACACGGGCTGGGGCTTCGTCTGCACCTGCACCCTGGTCAGGCAGCCTGGGCTCACCTGCACCTGTGGGCAGCACAGGCGACACACAAAACCTTCCCAGGACTGTCAACACCCAGGGGCCCTTGAAAGCAGGACACCTTAGTGGCGCCTCGAAGGTTCTAATAGCCCTCTCTGCAGAAGGGCTGAAGCCCTGTCCATAAAGCCTTGGGACACCCCTGCTGCCTTCAGTGGACAGGCTAGCGCTGCAAAGATGAGGGGGTCTGCAGTGCTGGGGTCGATAGCGCCAGGATTGGGGTGGGGCTGGGGAGAGGGCTTGAGTCAACAGCTCTTGGAAGAATGTCCTGAGGGTTGGAAGAGATGTGCCTTAACGGAGCCGTCCCTGGGCCTGGAGATGTTCAGAAGAATACTGTCAAACGTTCTATGCCAAAACATTCTCTGGTCAAATACTGATGGAAATGTGGGGCTGACGAGAGGGAAATAAATTTCTAGGCTGCGGGACTTCTCAGAGCCTTCACAGTGCTGGGGGGGGGGCGGAGGGGGCATTGTGTGTCTCCAAGGGAAGGACAGTCTTTTGCTTTCCAGACAGATTTGACCCCAAAGGCCTTCCCCCAGCCTCCACAAACCATGGTTTCACTGTAAAGCCACGTCTCTCTATCCCTGGAGGAAGAGGGAAAGATAACAGCCGCCCTTGGACTCTGACTTGGAGTGAGACAGCCATAGCTCCTCTTGAGGGAGTACAGACACAACGCAGGAGGGCTTCTGGGCATCCCTCTGAGGGGCCCAAGAGCTAATTCTCATTCTCACAATGAGGGGTATGTCTCCTTTTCTGGAGGTGGAGTCCCACAGCTCCTACGCTGCTGTGAATTTAAATTCCAAGCTAATCTTGGCAGGGAAGACCCCCACACCACCCAAACCCCCCACTCTCTCTAAAAGCAGCCTTCCTTGGTACCTAAGAGGAAAGTGAAGGGGCTCAGCCAAGAGCCCCCAGAGTCTCTCTTCAAAGACATGTAGTTGTTACCACAGATCAAGGGTTGAAACTGAAGCTCCCAGGGCCCATATTCTAGACCGAGGCCTTTAAAAAACTGCACAGAATGTCTGTCCCTGCTTTGGCCTGGCACCTTTACCACCAGCTGAGAAGCTGAAGAGCCCCCATGGGCGTCCAAGACACCTCCTGGTGTCGCTCCTGCCCTCGTACACAGACTCTGCCATCTCTCTGCTCCTGGGGCCAGTGTTCCACTCAGAACCCTTGGCTTATCTTCAGCTTCCAGAGCTGAGGTTCCAGGGGCACAATGAGCTTCTGTGCCCCCATGTCCTCAACCCCCCCGCCCAAATCCCAGCTGCATTCATGGTGTTTTGCTATTGTGGTGGGAGCAGCCTAGGGGTGGTGCGGGAGGGGGTGGGCTCTTGGCACCGGGACCCGCACAGACAGGCCGTGGTCAGCGGTCAGCATGCAAGTCACATCCGCAGGCACTGCCACCAGGCCTGCCAGGCCTTGTAGAGAATGGCGATGCTCCTGAGTCCCTGGGTCCCTTCACAGAGTCCCCTCCGGCCCACACATGATTTGCTTCTCCAACCAGCCCCTCGGTGCCATTCAGGTGGGGGGTATTTTTTCATGCCTTCTCAGCCAGTTGCTATTTCGGAGCCATATTAGGTCACTGGCTAAGCCCTAGACGCAGGAAAGCCCAGGAGCACAGCTGGGGCTCCAAGAGGCTTTAGGAGGCAAAGCGGGTGAGGGGTGAGAGCGAGTGAGTCGACAGCCCAGAAAGCCATCCAGAAGTCAGCCCGCACAGCCCTCCAGCCCCTCCAAGGAAGCCACTGGCCTGTCAGCGTAGGAGAAGCCCCTCTTACCTCCCCCAGCTCGGCCTGTCTGCTTGCGTATGTATCTCTCAAATCCCATCCATACCACCCTAAGGGGCAGCAGAGACTAAATTCAACGAATGTGTAAACTGAGGCAGAGGCAGAGACAGGGCGTTCCCCCAAAGTCAGGTCATAAGAGACTTTTTTCTACCATTGCTCTGCATAACCTTTATCAGCTCCTTTTACACTGGCCCTGCTCACAAAGGAAGCTGGGGTCAGCAGTAGCAAAGTGACCAGAGACAGGTTTCACTGAGATCCAACTGGGATCTCATGGAAATGTTAGACATTTCCAACAGAAGTCACCACTTCCTACTCCTACAGAAGACTTTGGATGGCCCCAAACTTCCAAGCCTCTCAGCAGAGACCCCCATTCAGGGAAGAAGGCAACCACTGGGTAGGAACTGGGGAAGGCTAGTAGAGGATGTTTAGGGACACCCCGCCCCACTCGACCTGTGAGGAGTGAGAGTTCATGGTCACACGGGTCATGGCCACTGTCCTCCTTGGGATTCCCACAGCACCCGCACGAAACTACCTACCACTCACGTTGTAACATCTTGTCTGTCTTCTCATCTGGGGCCCTCACTGATCTGTCCCTGCTTCCCCAAGGGCGCACATGGAACTCAACAAATGTTTGGTAAGATAACAACTAAAAAGACCCAGGCAGTGGGGAAACACCCAGAACCTGTACTCCAAAGTCGCCGGTCATTGGAGCCAGTTCCCTGAAGAGGTGGCAAGTCTCTTATAAGAGAGAGGATTCCCAGCCAAGAATAACTCCTCCCGTGGAGAGAGTCCTTTACAGTTTACAAAGAGCTTTGGTAGACAAATGCTTTCACTTGGCACCAAAGGGTGCCTCTCCAGACCCATCTCCCTGTGCTACGCCCAACGGACCCAACACAGGTCAACCAGTCCTTCTCTCAGCTCACGCGGTACTGGCCCACTTCTATGCCTCAGGTCAGCGTTTTATGTCCATATCCTCCTCTGGCAGAGTTGAACACATTATGGGACCAGAAAGGGAGACCCTCTGCCTTTCCCCTCTTATCCTAGCACACTCGCACATTCACAGGCCCTTGTCCCTGACTCATTCAGGACTCTGAGTCTCCTAAACCAAATGCCATGCTCAGGCCCAGAAGGAAAAGGAACCCTCAAGCGTGTCCTCTCCTCCACCCCTTCCCCCTGCACATTTGCAGGGAGAGCTGCCAGAAGACAGATGAGTGAAGGCCACAGAAGGGTATCTGCAATTCCCAAAAGAGACCAGAGTAGATGGGAGGGGAGGAGGAGGAGGAGTCCAGCTGAAAGGAGAGAGGAGTGGTATCTAGGAAAGCTCTGGAGAAGACCTCTGAAAAGGGGCTGGGAGGTCCTGGCAATCTGTGTATTTATCTGGCGAGGAAGACACGCTGCCCCTTCCACTTTGTAACCGAATCCACCCAACAGGCAGACTTTGCAAAGCAGCCAGCCCAGGTTTCTGGAGAAGGCACTGGGCAGCTGAAACCTCTCCCCCTGGCTAGCCCCCCTCCCAAGAGCTCAAGAGGATTTCCCTTTCATTTCCTTCCAGTCTGGGAGGGCGGGGGACAGCACAGTCTGTGGGGTCAAGCCCTCAAAAACCACTTCCTATGTGGCTGGGGGAGGGCAAACAGCTGGAGGATGTATCTGGGGGTCCCTGTGTAAGAACAGCAGGAAAAGCCCTGCTCTCCAGGGTGCCCTTCGGGTCAGCCACCACCGAGGTCGGAGGAGAAAAGATTTTAGGCCCCTACAGAGAAGCTCAGAGCAGAATCTGCACTCCCGGTCCCAGCGAGCGGTGGCCAAGAGGGGGATGGGGTTGGGCGTGGGAAGGACACTTGGAAGGGGCTCTCCGCCCTGGCCGCGCCCGGGCTGTGGGAGAGAATCCGGAGCCCCCCGCCCAGCCCGGGCTCCCCCCAGTTCGCTTCAACAGGGCGCTCCGAGCTGGGAGAGGGAGCAAGAGGGCCCCGCCCGCGCCTGAGCTGCTGGGAGCCGGGCTCAGCCGGGAGGTGACGCGCTCCCGGCGCCCCGGGGACATCGGGTGGCGAGTTTGGCAGAGCTGAACGAAGCCAAGCCAAGCAGGGCCGGGCAATACCGAGCCGGGCCGGGCCAGGCCAGGAAGAGCCAGGCCGATAGGAAAACGCCCGGCGCGGTCGACGGAGGGCGGGGGCGCGCGGGGGCACCCACCTCTCCGCGTTGCAGCTGGAAGAAGCTGTTGAGATAGCTGGAGTGCAGGGGCGAGCCCAGCTGCTCCGGGCGGCCCTTTCCGAAGGCCAGTTCTGGGGGCGCGGCGCCTGCGGGCGGTTCGGGCCGAAAGGCATCGAAGGCGCTCGCCTGGTGCGTGTCCTGCAGCGACAGGTAGACCCAGTTGAGTAGCTGGGCGGGCTGGTACACCGAAGCGGCGCTCGTGTCGATGGCCGACAGCAGGCTCATTTTGCGGCGGCGGTGCCGGCCCCTCCCCGGCCGCCCGCTTGCGCCCCCCTCCCCCGCAGCGGAGGGGCGGGCACCGGGGAGCCTGCGCCCACTGCCCACCGCCCGAGCCCCGACGGCGATCGCCCAGTGCCGTGAGCCCTGCGCTCTGCCTGCAGCCGCCGCCGCCGCCGCCACCTCCCCCCGACTGCAGCCGCAGCGCGCGCGGGCGGAGGAAGGAGGCAGCGAAAGTTGGGCAGGAAACTTTTGGGCCCGCCCCCTCCGCACCGCCCGCCCCGCCCCGCCCCGCCCCGCGATCCGCTATCTGCCTCAGTGCTGACCCCTTCGGCAGCCGCTCCCGGGGCGGGCTCCAAATAGACCACGCCCCTTACACACTGTCCTCGCCTTCCATTGGCCGTATCATTGAATATGGAGTAGGGGGCGTGGCGAGCGAGGAATTAGGGCTCATCTGTGCTTGCCGCGGTCTGCTGGCCTGCCCATGGGGCGGGCCCCTTCCAGGCCCTACCCCACCCCCAACCCGCCCATCCGCCCTACTCCCCGAGCCTGCGGGAGCTCAGGACAGCCCCGGCCTAATCAATCTGCTCTTGCTCTGCTTGGAGCTCTTCTGTCTCTCGTTCTTTCTAAATCCACTGCAATTATTTCATTTTCACTCGTTTCTCTTGCCGGATTTTTCTTCTTTTTTCATTCTCTCTCCGCTGTCTTTCAGATTAACCTCTCCTGGGTCCCTGTCTCTGTCCGGCTCGTTGTCTTCTTCTGTGGTTCTGTCTCTCTTAAGTGCGTGCGTGCGTGTGCGTGTGTGTGTGTGTGTGTGTGTGTGTCTTTTCTACTTCCGTCTAGTCTGATGTGTTTCTCTGCCTCTCCTCCTCCCCTCCCAGACACACGCGTGCACACACACACACACGCCTCCCTCCCTCCCTCCTCTCGCTATCACCGTAGTACCCTCCCCCTCCCACTTAATTCCTTCCATCTGCGGAATCGCTTTGCGGGCCGGCTCCGCCGAGGGGGGCCCGGGTTCCTGCCCCAGGAAGGACTCCCCGCCTTCTTCCCTCGCCTTCCCCCCTCCCCCTCTCCCTTCTTCTATTTCTGCTCTGGGCCGGCCTTTTCCTCCGCCCAGACCCCCGGCCCCAGCCGAACCCGGTGCTTCGGCGGGCCGCCAGGACCCCAGATGGGACACGGGGAGCTCGGGAAGACGACTGTCACCCACCTTCCAGAACGACCCAGCTACTCCAAGTGTGCTTGGGGGAAACCTCCGCCCCCGTCCCCTCCTCGGCCTGACACATCCCGAAGCCCAGGGCCTTCACCCTCTCAGTCTGGTGTAGTCAGTCATCCCACGCCTGCGCTAAGCCATCGCAGCTAACTAAAGGCGAGGTGTTTGAAGGGGACGTAGTCACCTCTCCCACCGCACCCCTGGCTCTGGAGCCATTCCACCGGGCGTTCAAGTGCCAAGTTGGCAACCTTCCAGCTCAGTGACCTCCGCATGGCGCCTAACCTCAGCGAACAAGCCTATTTTCTCCTCTGTAAAATGGGGATGGTCACCATCCTTCCTCTAGGGATGTTTATGAGCTGACCAGTTTGAGTTTGGTAAGCAGAAGACATTCCATAAAAGTCAACTCTCCACCACCCCCTTCACAAGGATTTCTCTTACTACCTACGCAGAGAGCATCTGTGGGGTTTTGGACCTGAATGGGCTTCAGGGATGTGTCCCTCTTTCCCACCATATCACCAACCAGGAGCCCCTTTGATGATTTTGTCTCAGATCATTCAATGATGTCAAAGATTTTGTCTATCAAACAATCTGTGATTATTAATACAGATGATAGTACATATCCCAGGTTTATTTTAATCTATGTTTCTTTATCAGAGACCTATCCCTTTACATTTTAAATCATGTTCAGTCTATTTGTTTAAGCAGAAGGTACACTTTTTTAAAGAAATAAATGTCATAACTCCTGGAAATATTTGGAGTCATCTCTGGAACTCTACTACTATCTTTAAGGTTCCAAGATGGGAGGAAGGGGAATAGGATTTGAAACCACCGATTTAGACTTTCCCTGGACATTTTAGAGAAAACTGCTGTTCAGAGAGGGGGCATCTTCCAGTTGCACAAGCAGGCAGCTGGGGAGCACAGAGGAGACCCTGAGGCACCGAGGCCCAGCCCTGAGCTCTCCGTCTCTGGCCCCCACTCTCCTTCTGGGTGAAGGGAGTCCTGTTACGTTGTAGTGCTGGCATTTTTTCCCCAGTGTGGGTCACACATTCATACTGTTTCACAGGCTGGGCAGGTCCCACCAGGTATAAGGCAATAAATGGGAAGTAGTGAAGTAGCCTCATGGAGAAGGGCTAGCTACTCAAAACCTTTCTGTCATGGTTCTCAGCCTGAAACTCTGAGTCTGTCACCAGCCTAGAGAGACATCTGCTCGGGGGCTCCCTGCTCTTCAGTGATTTGATGCTGTGAGGGCTCTTGTCATACCTGGCAACCATGCTGGTGGCCTCTGCCCCTTTTACCCCCACTCCACACCCACCCCTGCCCCATAGTTCCTACACAAGGCCTGCTGCATCGAAAGTAGATGATCCCCAAATGTTTGCTAGGTGGAGGGCTGGATGGAGGGTTGGAAGGGTGGCCAGTTTTCCTCCCCTTTGAAACCTGAATGGCTCCTCTGGTCTTGTACTTTGCTTCCTCCTCTTGCCCACAGCACACCTGCCCAACATGTGGGCTCTGTACCCTGTAAGTAATCAATAAGTGTGAACAACTGCTGGGTAGTTTGCCTGAGTAGCAGCTGGTTGCCGTGAGGTCAGCCCCTCGGCCTGTCCCAGAAGAGTCCCTGAAACAGCATGTCCTGTGGGATGGGAGGTGATGGGGGTAGATGGCCAGATAGGTATCAGGGGCCTGGGTACCAGGCTCAAAAGACCCACCCAGGCCCAAGCTCTGTGCCTCCCCTGTCCCCCTCATGTACACATCAAGAAGCCTTGCATTTGAATGTCAGAGGTCTTAGCCCAAGCCTTCACTTCAGAGAGAAGGAGGCACCATATTCCAGAGAAGGAAAGAGACTTGCCCAAGCTCAGCCAGGAAACCTAATGGCTAAGTTACCTTCTTGTAATCCACCCACATTCTCATTCCCCCCTCACTGGTCCCCATCTGGCAGTCTCCTGGTGTAGCATGGCCCCAGACACGCAGGTCAGAGGGTACTCCTGGGTGAGACTTAGGTCCCTATCTCCTTCCCTTTCTGGTAACTCTGTCCACCTTATGGTTTCCAGAATGGGACAATGGAGAGAAGATGGGATTTGGAGAGCAGAGACCTGGCCATGGGACCTTGGGCAAGTCTCTTGCCTTCTCTATAAGCCTCCATTTTCTCAACTACTGGCTGACTTGGTCAAGTGAGGATACAAACAGGAAGACGGTGCTTTGCTAACTCTGAATAAGCCATCATTCAAAAGGGAAGTGTGGTATTAATAATTTAAGCAAGAGAAATATTCAGTTTATCTGGAGGGGTGGTTGGAAGGAAAAGCGTGCATGGAGGGGAGGGTCTGTCCCTCAAGTTCCCCAGACAACAATCTGATAGATGTTTGGGTGAGTTTCAAACCAAGAGCTTTGAGCTCAGAGAAGCAAGAGAAACTTTGGAAAGAAGGGCACGCAGAAGTCTTCATGCAAGAATCAGCCTTCAGTTTGGTCTTGAAAGGCACCAGACAGGAGCCGAGGAAGAAGAGGGGGCCTCACGACCCCATGCTAACTGACCAGTGCTAACTGATGCTGCTTATTTCTCTAAAGCACATCAATCGCGTGGTAATTTACAAGCCTTAACCCTCTTGAACCTGCCCCTACTCCATGCCCCAGGAATAAACAGCGAAGTGCACCCTGGGAAGGCTGAGTGTTGTCTCTCCTCCGGGCCAGGACTAGGCATTGGGTTCCTTCGGACTGTGTGTTGACACAGAAGGTGTCAGTTTACAGCAGTGATAGCAAAATGGCAAAGAGTCTCCCTGCACACGCCACTGCCCCATCCCCCCACCCAGGACAGAAGTCACTGAGTGCCGAACTCTTCCCCGGACGTGACTTCAGAGCCCTTCTCAGCATGGCATTCTGTCACCGTGAAGGATGGAGCAGACCCGGAGGATGAAGACTGTTCGCTATCTCCTCTTCCCTGTGGACGTAGCGTGCTTCTTGCCAGGCCATATGACTGCTAGCTCAAGTTCAGCATCTTCGTGCAAGGCTCTGACAGCCAAACCATGGGGTCAGCCTGACCAGTTCAGTCCCCAGTCACAGACTCTTGACTCTTGATAAAAGAACCACAAAAGATGAGGGGATCCATGAACATTCAACTCAGTCAGCCACTCCGTGTAGGTTCTGAGCTGTGGAGAGTGCCTGGGCATGAGGGGATCCGTGAACATTCAACTCAGTCAGCCGCTCCGTGTAGGTTCTGAGCTGTGGAGAGTGCCTGGGCCTTTGGAGATGGTCTGTTTCCCAGCTGTGACTTTGGCGAGTTGATTATCCTCTGCTCGACAGTTTGCTCATGTGCAAAACCTTCTCCCTATTACTTGAACCCCAGGACACAGGAGGACATTGGGCTCTCTGACAGCCTTGGCCACTGCAAGGCTCTCAGAGGATGCTTGCTGCATTTCAAGGCTGGACAATGAGCTTGAGCATGAGGGGCACCAGCCTGGATGTCAGAAGCCTCAGGTTCTCTGCCCTACTGTTGTGTGTGGCCTGGGGAAGCTGGCAGGGTACCCTGGATCTCTGGTCCCCAGAAGTCATAGGAGGAGGCCTAGTAGACCACTGCTCCCTGAGGAATAGCCTTCAGAAAAGTGCCGAGGCAGAGATGGGGCCATCCTCACACAGGAGCTAGAGGAAGCCATGACTCTCCTTTCAATTTCCTACCTACTTTTCCTTAAAATACAGCGACAACAATAACAATAAGAAACAAACAAACAAAAAACAAGCTATATACATTTTACTAACAGCCCCTTAGCAAACGTCAATCTCTGAAGATACCCTGGGCCTCCAGGGCTGGAAAGAAGACACCTGGTCACTCAGGACCAGTGATGAAAACATGGTCCCTTTCTCTTGTGGAGGACATGGGGGAGTGGCTCTTGAATATCCATGTATTTAGGCTTATGAAGCATCTATTTGGAAAATGGAAATTAAAACACTCACTCTGAAGTTGAGTGCACAGTGCTGTCT